CCAGACCGTCTTTAAATATTTCTGGTGGGGACTCGATGTTGATTCTGGCTGGGATCGTTGTCTTGTCTGCGACGTTAAATAATTCCTGAGGAGTTACGGGGGATCTCCTTAAATGCCTCATGATCAGTCATATCAAACCGAGTGTAAGGCTCGTTGCATGCTAGGATAAATAATGTGCAGGGGCTGGCAGGTTCGGCGTTGACTTGGGGCACACAGGTGGGCCGGATTGCACACCTTTAGACACGCTGCTCAACCAGTTGAACCAAATGCTCAGGGCATTGACATAAATTGATTACTCGAGAGGGATACAGGGAAAAAGTTGGATTCCAATTGTTTCGCATGACATTAATTAGATAAACAACTGCATACATCTCTGCAAGGAGCATTATTTCTATTTTTGATTATTTAGTTGTTTCAGACTTGACTAACAACTGACAGACAGTTGCAGATAGAGTAGAATATTTTTTGCTGCATTGCAATCTGTATGAGAGTAATCTAAAAATAGATTAATATTCCCTGTAGGATCTGACATTGGTTGACACCTAACCACCTGACTGTTTTTGTCCAGGCCGACCGAAGCTAGTTGCGTACCATCGACGGCGGTGGTTACTATATGCCCACTGTCAAGTCAGACCCAAGTTAGTGTGTAGCAACCTGCTTCGGTGGCTATGCAGCCATCGCAGCAATCGACTGGGCCAATGCAGCCTATGCAGTGGATGTCCAAAATACCCTTGCTGAGTCCTAAACTCTTCTCTGGCGACAGGAAGAAGGATGAGGACTTGGATACCTGGGTGAGGACGGTGACTACCTATGTGAGGCACAAGCTTACCAGGTTGGAGCAAGAAGTTGTAGTGGCTTCCTCCTTTCTAGAGGGGTCAGCAACTCGCTGGTTGAATGACCTAGTGCAGCAACAGGGCTACGGTTAGAACTTCGACGCCTGGATCCAAGCCCAGACATTGGAAGAGTTCGTACTGTCCGTGTACAATAGGTGGCATGACCCTCAAGGGGCTCAAAAAGCCACAGACGCAATCAACAGTCTTTGTGCCAGAAGGTACAAGAATGTTTGTGAGCTCACGGATACCGTAAAACATCTGCTTGTGGTACCTGGTGTGCGCTATGACCAACAGGTACTCCTCACGGATGTCTACCTTCAGAGGTTAGGACAAAGCTGGTAGATGAGGCCTATGTCGAACAGTACAACTTCGCTTCTTTCAGCAAGAAGGCATTAGATATAGAGGCAAAACTGGGGTCCGCGCATCAGAGTCAGGGAGATGGTAGAGGAAGAAGAGACTCCCCAGGACTGGAAGAAGAAAGGGCAACTAATGTTCGTCGACCACGATGGTCAGGCAACAGAAATTGACGATTTTCCAGACCTTGGGGAGGAGACAGAGCACGATGGGGCCAGCGAGACTTCGGATGGGGGAGTTGTGGCTCCTATCAAAGAAAAGGCTAGAGGGACCGGGAAGAAGAAGGTAGGCCGGTCTACGGGTCAGGGCGACCAAGGAACACCCGCATGGGTAAGACTTGGTTTAGAGTATAATGTGTAAAGGAACCGAGTTGCTCTGGGTACGTGTATGAACTGTGACAACTATGGTCACACGCCCTGAACGTGTCGAGGCAAGAAAGTCCTAGCGAGGGTAGTCACTCCAACGGTGGTGAGACTATCTTCGAACCCTGCCACTGCTTCTGCGAGCATTTCACAGGGAAACACCTCGGGCTAGCAGGAGTTTTAGTCGCTCTTACTCGCGCTGAAGTGGTAACGTTGCCTTCCCCACTTCAAACATTGGTCGAGGCTAGTGACCCACGTATCGCCCCGCAGACACATTCAGACCCACCAACACTCTGTTCGAGAGATATGTCTGAGGCCCTAGAAGAGTTAGCGACTGAGTGGTCAGGGAAGGACCCAGAGACTCTTAGGCGATGATCAGTAGAGGTCCAAGGGGTGAACATTTCGTGGTAGAGGTTGATGTAGGTGGCTGTAAAGTTGGCGCCTTCGCAGACATAGGCTCTACACGAAACTTCATCAGTCGTGCTTGCATGGATAAACTGCGCTTAGGGGACCAAGTGCAGCGGCTTAGCAAGACTGTAGCTTCTACGCTAGCCAACAAGCACCAAATGTTAGTTAAAGACTATGTCAAGGATGTAGTTTGTACGTTCTCTTATGGAGGAGGGGATGTGAGACAAAAAATATCATTCCTCATTAGCGACGAACTGCCCTTTGATATGTTACTAGGCATGTAATACCTCCAGGCCGCTCAACCTCAGTTTGATTGGGATAGAAAGGTTTTGATACACAAGCTGGCAAATGGTAGAACTGTTAGACTGCAAAAGTATAAAGCTAGCAGACTAGTGGAAAACTACGTCTGCATGTGTGTCTCCTCTTTCTATAACTGTTATAAGCAGAATCGCGAGGAGGACATGTATCTAGTCTTTGTCTCTGAGAAATGTGAGGTCGTTAAAACACCCCCAGAGATAGAATCATTCGTCGAAACATATTCAGACATTTTTTAGGAGCCCACAGACGTGGTGGAAAGGGAGGTGGTCCATGCAATAGAGGTTGTCTCATGTAGTAAGGTACCTAGAGGACGCATCTATAGGATGTCTCCTGCGGAGTTAGATGAGCTCCGCTGCTAGCTCAAGGAGCTCACAGAAAAGGGATGGATTCGGCCTAATACCTCCCCTTACAGTGCACCAGTCTTATTTGTTCCTAAAAAGAGAGGTACCCTGAGGATGTTCATTGACTATAGGGGCCTCAATGCCATCACTGTTAAAAATGCAAAGCCTCTACCCCGCATCGACGACCTACTGGATAGAGTGTAGGGATGTCAGTACTTTACTAAGATATATCTAAAGTTCAGATACCATCAAATTGCTATTCGACCCGAGGACCAACACAAAACCGCTTTTTATACCAGATATGGTATATAAGAGTTTGTGGTGAAGGTGGCCAGCATACGAGATTGGCCCAGACCACAGACTGGTACGGAGGTCCGATTATTTTTGGGGATGACGGACTACTATCGTCCGTTTGTTAAAAACTATAGCACTATAGTTTTTCCATTAACTGATCTTACTCGACTTGACACCCCTTGGGAGTGGACTGAAGAGTGTGAAGCAAGCTTCAAGAAACCGAAGTATGCTCTGACATACTATGAGGTTCTTGAACTTCTGGATCCTGATAAACCCTTTGTCGTGACCACAGACGCCAGCCAATATGGCATAGGCGCAGTCTTTGCGCAAAAGGAGGGGTCAAAGTTGAGACCGATCGAGTACATGAGTAACAAGATGTCGTCATAAAAACTAGCAAAGTCCACATATGAGCGTGAGCTCTATGCCCTTTACAGAGCGCTGGTTCATTCAAGACACTATCTCCTTGGCAGATTTTTCTATGTAAGATCTGACCATGAGACCCTGTGTTGGATCAAAACACAACCGGTACTCTCTGACGCACTCTAGCGATGGATTCAAGTGATAGACATGTATGACTATCAACTTGATCCAATCAAGGGAGAGTACAACAAGGTAGTTGATGCACTTCATTTCGGACAGATTACCTGGGCGCGCTAGTGAGTGGTGTTTGAATTTGGCATATCTAATGATCTAACTCGATCTTTGGTGGAGGCCTACCAGCAAGATTCAGTTATGTCTGAGATCATTCGTAAGTTTAAAGAGAAGGATAAAACAACTTCTGACAAATTTGCGATGGTAGATGGGTTGTTGTTTCTTGAAAAGGCAGGGAATAAAAAACAGTGTGTTCCCAATAGTGAGTCTTTACGTAGTTTATTTTTAGGTGAGTGTCATGATGCAACTGACCATGTTGGTTATAAAAAGACTTCAGCTAACTTAGTGCAGAAATTTTGGTGGCCCACTATGATGCAAGATGCGAAAAAGTACGTTGAAACTTGTCGGGTTTGTCAAAGGGACAAACCTAGGACTCAGGCTCCGCTTGGGCTCATCAAGCCCTTGCCGATTCCTGAAGGTCCTGGTCAGAGTGTGTCCATGGACTTCATGCAAGTCTGAAAAAAAGCACATCTTCGTGATAGTGGACCGTTTTTCTAAGTAAGTTTGCTATTCCAGAAACTGTTAAAACTGACTTTGTCCTCAAACTCTTTCTGAATAACTAGGTTAGGGATTTTGGACTACCTACGTCGATAGTAAGTGATAGGGATGTAAGGTTTACCAACGAACTGTGGCAGGCGATAACTGAGCAGATGGGTACCAAGCTGCAAATGACATAAGGAAATCACCCTGAGTCAAATGGCCAGGCAAAATAGATGAACTGGGTAGTACAGCACAAGTTTCGGCATTATATTAAGCCAAGTCAAGATGACTGGGATGAGAAGTTACCGCTCGTCGCCAACCTGTACAACAATGTTGTGTACAGTACTACTGGCATGACTCCCAACCAGCTACACCTTGGTTGGAATCCCAGAACTGCACCAGCCCCGCGACTCCGCGATGAACTAAAGGGGAGGTTATCACGGTGCCTGGTGCCCAATGTCCATCTGGGTACGATCCTGCCCAAGGAGGCAGAGTGGGCCGAGTCAAGTACGAAGATGGACTGGAAGTGCGTAGCCTGCGGTACGGTGGATTTGATGGTGAAGGGTTCCAAGTGCGCAGCAATGGTGGACACCGGGGCAGAGATGAACATTATTCGGGAGGCGGACGCGATCAGATTCGGGCTGGATATAGACCGTTCTGACTGCGGTATTCTGCATGGAGCCAGCTGTAAGGCCATGTTTTGCGGGACAGCCTCGAATGTGCTCGTCGTGGTTTGAAAGGTGAAGGTCAGGGCATGCTTCTTCATAATGCCAGACGTGGACCATGGAATCCTCCTGGGGAGGTCATTCCTAAGCAGGACAGAGACCGATCCTGCCTGCGGGAATTATGAAATAATTACTTGCTGGAACACCGGGCCAAGGAGTATAAGGAACCGGCCCAATCCAGGATCATTCACAATCGAGGAATCGAAAGGGGAGCGCATGAGGCTCTGGGCAGAGCCCGAAGCAGGAGAGAGGGTGAAAGCATTTTCCCTCAGCCTGTCAGATGTTGGGAAGGCCATGGACCTGGCGGCCGCGCATCAGATGGCAGATCCGGATGCCATCCAGGCCTTGAGGGAACAAGTTCTGGAATGCCCTGAGGCAGGAAGGTTGGAATTGGTATATCGGCTCCCAGGCAGCGGAGGGAACCCCGCATCAGCGCAAACACAATCCGTGAGTCGGCCTTTTTTAGGGGACGGCTCAAGCAAGGTTCCCAAAGGCGGTACAAGACGGTAGACAAGAAGTGTCACCCGGTACCCGTCCTCGTTACAGAGGACGAGGAAGCAGATTACGAGAGGGAACGAGGGTTGATTCGACGAATGAGGGAAAATGCTTTAGCAGGGCCATGTCGTATCAACGAAGGGAACGAGAAGGAGTTGATCATAGGGGAGTCTGATTTCCTGCTGCCTCAGGAACGAACGTTGATGGTGGAATTAATGAAGAGGAAGCATCGCGCCTACGCGTTTAGTGACGAGGAGCGTGGCAGGCTGGATGTAGACAAGATACCTATGATCCGCATCCAYACCGTGYCACACGAGCCTTGGAACATGAGAGSGGCGCGATATCCCAATCCTRACGAGGAAAGGAAGGTRGTGGATTACCTCGACGGCAAGATACGTACTCACGTCGCCGACTATTCAAGTGGACCGTATGCGTCCCCGTGGTTCTGCTTTATTAAGCCTAACGGGATGCTGCGGTGGGTGCAGGATTTGCAAAGATTGAATGCAGTGACCGTGCGAGATGATGGAGGACTGCCGAATGCAGAAGCGCTGTCGGAATCCTGTGCTGGTAGGCCTATAATTTCGCTTATAGACCTTTACTCAGGATACGATCAGTTCCCAGTCTACCCGCCGGATAGGCCAGTGACGGCTATGCACACGTCGTGAGGATTAGTCCACATGAACGTGGCCCCACAAGGGTGCACCAACGCAGTAGCAATGGTCCAACGGGCCATGATTCGGGCCATGCAGTCAGTCAGCCCCCATATCACATAGCCATACATTGACGATTTGGCAGTAAAGGGGCCGGCGATGAAAGAGAGCAACGAAGTCTCACCAGGGGTAAGGCGCTTTGTCTGGAAACACATCCAGGACCTCGAACAGGTCCTGAGCCTGCTCGAAGAGCATAACCTCACGGCAAGCGGGGCCAAATCCAGACACTGCATGAGGGAAGCGACTATCTTGGGGATCGTCTGCAGTGAGAAGGGCCGAWGGCCGGATGTGAAGAAGACGGACAAGATTACTGAGTGGCCAGTTCCGTTCCACTCAATAACTGATGTCAGGAGCTTCCTTGGTACGTGTGGATTTTAGAGGGCCTTCGTTAAGAACTTTGCCGCTAAGACTAAACACCTGAGGAAATTAGTTCGTCAGGATCAGGAATGGGTATGGGGTGAGGAACAAGAAGAGGTGGTGGCAAAAATGAAGGAGGAATTTCGAGAAGGAGGGTTGGTGATAGGAGCGCCAGATTATGACGCCACAGAGACGCGACCCTTCATTGTCGAAATGGATGCGGGACCGACTGCCTTAGGGGGAGTTCTAATTCAGGCAGACATGGAAGGAAAGGAAAGACGCTTGCGATTTGAGAGCCGGACTCTCTGTACAACGGAGAGGAACTACTCTCAGTTCAAGAGAGAGACCCTTGCTGTCCTCCACTGTCTGCGAATCTTCCGGAACTATATCTTCGGCAGGAGGTTTATTTTGAGAGTGGATCCGACCGCCCTGGCCTACTCTCTAAGGAATTTTGCTCCATCGGATCCGACGGTTGCCAGATGGCTGACGTACATCTGGATGTTCAATTTCAAATTGGAACGGATTCCTGGTAGTAAGAACCGGGCGGACGGGCTGAGTCGGATCAACTGGGATAAGCAGGAAGGGGAGGCGGTGGAGAATACGCCCCCAGTTGATGGATTTCTGGATCAGGAAGAAGATGTTCGTCTTCATATCAACAAATGGTCGCCACGAGTGCCCAGCTGTGTAGGTTATCCTATCTGGCTAGTCCTTAAGCCCTTTGAGGAAGAAGATCCCTGGGCCAAAAAGGATGTTCAGTGGATGATGGAGCTAGCGTTGGTAAGCTCGCATAGCCTGGTGGAGGAAATGAGAACGATTGAGGAAGGACCTGGCCAGGTAGAACGGCATGAGGACCTGATGGGAGGAATGTATCTCCTCGTCAACACGTTATTGCAGGAAGGCCTCGACCAGCCAGGCTCGTTGAACTCGACAGGAAATGTGGATGAAGTGTCCGAGAGCCAGGACGACGAGTTCGAGGAAGGAGAGATTAAGGAGGCTTTTCGTGCAGAGGAGTACGACGGGATCTACCTAGAAGTGGGGCTTCTTCTGTCATGTGAAATGCGGCTAAGGGATGCAAGCGATAGGGCTCAGAGGATGCTGCAGCGCTACTTAGTGCGAGACGGCCACCTTTTCGTGAGAAGAGAAGTGGGGAATCCCAGGAGGGTCGTCTGCGGTAGGAATCGTCAAATCGACGTCGTAGCAGCACTACACGATGGCATTGCAGGAGGGCATCGAGAGGTACAAGCCAAGTATGCCAAGATAAGTGAGTTGTACTACTGGGATGGAATGATGGACATGGTCGGGATATTCTGTCGATCCTGCGTGCCCTGCCAGGAGAGATCCCGTTTAAGGCAGGGAGAGCCGCTGCATCCAAGGTTAGAGCGAGAGGTGGGGGCCGTAGTGCACCTCGATCTGCTTTTTATGCCACTTGGGGATCAGGGCTATAACTATATCTTCGATGCGCGCGATAACCTGTCTGGGTTCGTAGACGGGCGTGCTATTCGCACAAAGACCGGGTTAGTCTTAGTGAGCTGCATCGTGGAATATTATCTGCGTTACCCTTTCGTAAGGGAATTCGTAATGGACAGGGGATCGGAGTTTACCTGCCAGGAGGTGCAATAATTCTTATCAAGGTATGGTGTAGCAGCCAACTACACCACGGCCGCGCACCCCCAGGCAAATGCTCCCGTAGAGAGAGGACATAGTACCATTACGAGTCTCCTGGCTAAGTGGACCGAAAGTAGGCCTAATCAATGGCCAAGATACCTAAGGGCGGCGTTCTTTGTCGAGAACATTACAATAAAAAGATCCATCAAGCACGCACCGGCGATATTGTGGTATGGAAGGCACGCCACCTTCCCTATCGAGAGCTTTCTTAAGACATGGATGCGCCATGATCTGGAAGTTAACCTGTCATTTAAAGAATTGCTCGATATTCGGGCGCGACAGATAGGAGCAATAGAAGAAAGGATCCAGGAGGCGTCTGACCAGGTGGCGAGAAGCCGTATGGACGATAAGGCTCGATGGGATCAATCTGGGCGGTTGAGGAAAGTACCCTTGGCAGTTGGAGAAGTCGTGCTTCTCTAGGATTCATCATTGGAGAAGCAATGGTCCAGGAAGCTCGATAAGAGGTGGTTAGGTCCCTACCGGATCGTACGGGTCGGAGACTTCGAAGCGTATCAGATAGAGGAGCTAAATGGGTCTGAGTCGATGGATTGGGTATTTGGAACGCGACTGAAGAAATTCGTGGCGAGAGAAGAGGTAAGAGAGACGACCTGACTGCCTTTAGAATAGAACTAGCAGGGTGTGTAGGCTAGGTAGGATGTGTGCTGTGTGAGTGTGGTGTGGTCTAAGTTTGCTTGATTATCACCTGTTTTGCTTACCCCAATGTGTGCCTGTTGTCTCCTTCGCCTGTTGTGCAGGTCTGACTTTACGAAGACAGCCATGCCAAGAGGAGGGAGGGGGACACGGCCGCCTCGGAGGCCGTTGGGAGCATCAGGAGGATATGAGCGACATGGGTCTTGCCATCGAGAGAGTACTCCAGTATACGATGATGGGGACATCGAGCTATTCTCCTTCTTTTTTGGCCCTTCTTACTCTCAGTCTAGTCCTTGGTTACGAGAGGAAGGTGGCAGGCGGGATTGCAACTCGTAAGCCCGCGTCAAGACTCTGTGGGGAGTCCACCCACCGATTGCGGGAGCTCTACCGGAACTCAGGAGAAGTTCTGGAGGCAGGGAACCTTCAGGTAACTCATCTTTATCTGTTTGCCTATCTCCTTGTAGTATGATTGTTGTATGCATGCGTTTGTCCCTATGATTTTTGCTTTCTCTTCAGGACCCAAATCAGACTAACTGGAAAGAATGTGTGAGAGTGAAGCCTAAGTTTCTACTTTGTTCTGATTGAAAGCAGACTAAGGATGAATTGGGGGAAGGTGGAAGGAAGGTAGATTGCATGCGTTTGACCGGGTCAACCAAAGCCTGAGCATTGTTTCTACTGTGAATGGCTCAGAGCATTGTTTCTGAAGGACCAGACATTGTTTCTACTGTGAATGGCTTCGTCGCTGTGTTTATTTGATTGTTTTCTGGGGAGCCAGACATTGTTTCTACTGTGAATGACCTGGCTGCCTTAGTTAACTCTGAGGGTTGTCTGATTGAAGGGGTTTAAATTCTTGTTTATTCTGAGGGAGGATTTTTTTGGTCTAAGGCTAAGCATTGTTTTCATGGTGAATGGTTTAGCCTAAAAACCACGCACATAATTTAAACTAAGTATAAAGGAAAGTATTTTATGTATATTTGCATGTGAACTGGCAGCTGGGCATTGTTTCTACTGTGAATGGTCCAGCGTTATGCCATATCATTAAGAAGAGAAAAAGAAAACTACAAAGTATAAATGGAAATAGTTTGGGCAAGTTGAACATTGTTTCTACTGTGAATGGTTCAATCCCCTGCCCATATTTGCTTTTTCTTTTGAAAACAAAGTCAGAGAAATATTAAATCTTTGGATATTAAACAGCTCAGGGCCACAAGGCATTTTTTCCATGGCGAATGGCCTAGTCATCTGCCCAAAAGAAGAAAAAAAGTAGTTGTGCAACCTGTTCGTGTATATCATAAGGACATGGACATTGTTTCCATGGCGAATGGTCCAGCTCTATGTCTTATGTAAGATGGGTATAAGGATTCAAGAACTTGAAGATTCACGAACTATTTATATGGAATGAACTTGGGACGGTCAGAGTACTTACATTCGTGGTTTGGTTTGCATGTGACTGGATGGGATGACTAGTTTGTTTAGGTTTCAGTTTTATAGGTAGTTGCTTTAGTTGCTCGCCACGTGCTAGAGTCATGAAAGTTAGTGTCCATTCCTGCATTTTTCTGTAATAACGTTTTTTTACTTAGGTCAATTCCTGCATTTTCTGAGATCTTTTCTTATTCTTGGCTTTGTATAAATCTTGGCAAGCTACTTTTCTTACGGAAAGCGTTGCCGAAATTTTTACAAATTCAGGAAGTTAATCAACTTTTGACTTGTCAGAGTTCAACTTGTCTTTTCCATATATGGATTAGTATAAATCTAGAAAGTCTCCTTTTCTAGAGGGAGTGTTGCCCAAATTTTTACTAATTCAGGGAGTTGGACAAAATTGGACTTTGAGAAGTCAAAGTTATTCTCAAAATTCTGAACTTAGCCTTGCATAAATTTTGGAATAGCACTTTTCTAGAGGGAGTGCTGCCGAAATTTTTGCAAAATTAAGGAGTTAGTTAAATTCAGTCTAAAAGTTGAGCTCGAGCTGTTGTTCGAGTTCGTATCTGACTTAGTATAAATCTGGGAAGTCTCCCTTTCTAAAGGGAGTGCTGCCTAAATTTCTACTAATTCAGAGAGTTAGACAGAATTTGACTTTCCAGAGTTAAAGATTAATTCTG